TGCCATTTCCTATTGCAATAAATACAGACCTCTGTCAAAATGTTTGCATGATTTTCCACAATACAAATGAACAAGAATTTACTTAACCAAATCCTTATCCAATAGGTGTTAAGATAGTTAAATCAAGCTTCAGCAGAAAATAAAACATCATAGATATCCCGTTGGTCTCTACACACTAAATATCTCTCTTTTAAGAGATAGAACAAAAGCATAAAGCTCTTCACTAATCTTGATTTCCTAAATTGGAGGACAGCATCAGTTTTAACATTATTTTAAATTTAAGATGGTATATTTCTCTATTCTAATTTAAAAAGCATAACTAACCAAACAATCAGGAATAGCTGTCATAAATTACCTTGACAGATTGAAGGACAGAGAAACAAAAAAAGATTAGGCACATGAGCTCTCAGGCCATGGAAGTTTTGGAGACATATGGTCCTGGGACTATTTAGTACTTTGCAGAAGAGACCAAGGGTATGCATCTTGAAAGCTCTAGCAGTGCACTGTAGATGAAGAAAACAAGCGCCTCCCCACTACTGCATACTGTATTTTCTTCTCAAGCACTATTGAGTCTAATATAGGCTTGCTGGTTCTTGGGATACTGCAGCTAAACCTAAACATGGATATTTAAGATTTGTAGAGCCAAGTAAGAATTCCAGACACCTGGTTAAGAGGGTGACCCTGGAATTCTCAGCTGCCAGGAGCTTTGTCACAAGCAGCAATTTCTCAGCAGCCTGGACAGTCCGGCTGATCTCACCTGCTCAGTGTCAGATCTATTACGCTTCCCTTCAGTTGGAGTTCCATCACTTCGGATGACTTTGGGCTTCCGTTTTTTGCTTGATTCTGATGACATGGTTGGCTGGTGAAATCAGGAGGAACAGCAGAGATCTGTTAAGAGGGGAAAGCTTTGAGATTTGCCAGAGTTGGAATTGAAGATTTTCTAAGGAACAATTCTGGCCACTTACACCTCTGGTAACTCAAGAAAAGTCACTGAATCTCCTAAGCCTCAATTCAATCCTCTGTGAACAGGAAAATGAATCATCCTTCAGCCAGTTTAAAACGAATTCAACTTCTCCACCTCCACTTCCTTTAAAGGCATCACTACTACCACCCCACTGATGAAACCTCTCAGCCTGGCATGTAAATCCATTCCCCACACTATTGATTGATCACATTAGGCTGGGCCTTGATCTGAGCACTTTATGGCTTTAGTCTCATTTGAACCTTACTGTAAAACTTTCAGTTAAGAACAAGTACCATTTTACAAGAGAGAACTGAGACTGAAGAAGGTAAATAACTTGCCCAAGATCATAGGCTAACAAAGATAAAGCTTAGGTCCATAAGATGCTCATCAGTACTCTTGATAACTGCTATTGTCCAGTGACCAATTCCCCCAAATTTAAAAGAACAAAATCTACACTTCATGGGCTCTAGCATCTTCGCCTCAGATAACTTTCTACTTGTCACTACGGGCATGACTGCTCCCTTAACCATAAACATATTACCAATCACTTACAATGAGGTCAGAGAAGCCTTGCTGTGTAGTATCCACTCTACTATTTTATGTCACTTCACTTTCTTCAGCATCTGTTTCCTCAAAGACCCAACAACAATAATAGTCCCTTCCTCATAGATGCAACCTACTGGTGAAGGTGATGAAGATAATCTGGGGCTGGGGCTTTTGAAGGTGCGTGGGTGATCTGAAATAGTGTTAAATGCCTAAGAAGTTCATTTCTTTAGAAACTTCTGATTGCTTCAAGGAGAAAGCAGTCTATAACACTCCTTCTATATCCAAGAGCCTTAAGTAATGAAATCTAACCAGCATTATTAACAAAAGATGAATAAAAATATAAAAAGAGCAGTTTTCCATTGATGATAACCATTGTTTTAAAGTAAATTTAAATAGTGACTCAATTAACAATTTTGAGTGAACAGTCACAGAGATGGTAAACTGATCTGGCAAAACCTATACAAATGGAGCCCTAAAGGCTTACGTGTTCAGAAGCCATGCCTTTGACAACAAAGTGCCTGGAGCGCGTAGATGCATAATACATGTGAACTGTTACTAGCACCATAAACTAAAACTAAACCACCATCGTCGTTGCCGTCGCTTTTAGAGGTTATAGAGTGGAGCCAGACGAAGCTGCAGTCAACATTTTCCACACGAAACGGCGCGCGGCGCCGAATAGCCAGGGACCCCGGGGAATGGGGATGGAGAGTACGGGTCGGAACCCAGCCTGCAAACTCCTGCCTGGAGCCCCGCACCTTACTCCAGGAGCGCCGCGCTGCTCCAGGTTCTACAGCCCCACCGTCCCAGTTCCCATCTCACCCCACGTTTAGCCGAACCTGTCCCGGCGAGGAAGCCACTTCCGGCAGCAAAGGTACCGAAGCTCGCGCACCATGGAGAAACGGAAGAGAAGAGAGACCGGCCGGAAGTGGGGCGCGGAGGCCGGAAGCGAGGCGGGAAGGGCCTCTCTGGCCGGCAACAAGGCTTGTTGGCTGAGGCGGTGTGGAAGCGAGGAAGATCGTGGACTCCTGTTGTCAGGACAGGTGCCAGCCGGCCAACACCCTCTAAAAACAGGAAATTGCGACTGCAACGGCAAAAAATCGTATATGCCTATTTCACTTTCCCCAGCAGCTAGTTGAAGCTGTGCTGTGCATTCGTCGTATGCCTTTTAGAGCGTGATAGCGCCAAGATCTGAATGGATTTGCCTCCATAACCTGGGTTCTTAATTGTCATACAAAATGTACGCAAACAGCTCACGCTAGGAGAGGTAGCCAATCGCAGAAGGCTCTCTAACCCCATTTTACACTTGTTCTTTTTCTCCACAGGTGCATCAGTATTTTCCCCATTATAAATGACTGGATTTGCTCAATTCTATAATGCAGTATTTGATAGCCTCATGTATTTTTTTATTATTTTATTTTACATCATTATTCATTTTTGTACAATGTTTGTTTTATTTTCTCAGGTGTAGTCCCCATAGATTTCCCACCACCAATTCACCGTGTACCATCACCACAGTCGCTGGTGCTCTTCCTGCTCTCCTTTTGACCCCTCCCCCTCCTCTGCAGGATATCTCTGATTTATAGTTATTTTTGTGTTTTTTTTTAATTGTTATTTTTTCCCCGATCACTTCTTTGGCTTCCCTATTTTCCTCCTATAAGTGAAACCATCCGATATTTTTCTGTTTCCTTCTGACTTATTTCACTGAGCATAATTACCCTTCTAACTCCACCCATGTTGTTGGGAATGGCATACGTTTATATTTTTTGATCAATGTGTAGTATTCCATTGTGTATATATACCATATCTTCTTGAGCCAGTCATCTATTTTTGAGCATTTGGGTTGCTACCTACTATAAATAGTGCTGTAGTAAACATAGGGGTATAGGTGTCCTTTTGAATTAGTATTTTTGTGTCCTTTGCGCAAATCCCTACGGGTGGAATTTCTGGGTCATATGGCATCTCCATTTTTAGTAGTCTGAGAACCCTCCACACAGCTTTCCAGTGGTTGGACCAGTTCGCATTCCCACCAGCAGTGTAGAAGAGTTCCTTTTTCACCACAATCGAAGTTTTGGGGTTTTTTTTTTTTTTAATATGCACTATTCTCACTGGTGCAAGAAGGTATCTCATTGTGGTTTTGATTTGCATTTCCCTAATGAGGGACGTTGAATATCTTTTCATATTCCTGTTGGCCATCTGCATTTCCTCTTTGGAGAAGTATCTTAAATTCTTCTACCCATTTCTCGACTGGTTTGTTGTTGAGTCATGTGAGTTCTTTGTATATCTTTGTGAGCAGTCCCTTATCAGTTGTATGGAGAACAAAAATTTTTTCCAAATTAGTAGGCTCTTTGTTTTGGTAGTTTCTTTTGCTGAGTAGCTTTTTAGTTTGAGGTAATCCCAGCTATTTATATTTTCCTTCACTTTCTTTGCTTTGGGGGATGAGTCTTTAAAGATGTTACTGAGATGTATGCCATGGAGTTTTACCTATATTTGTGCATAATATGAGATAATGGCCTAGTTTCATTCTTTTGCTTATGGTGGTCTGGTTTGCCCAGCACTATTTATTGAACAAACTTAATTTTGTTCCATTGCATATTCTTTGCTTTTCTGTCAAGATGAGTTCCCCACACATGTGGCTTTATTTCTGGGCTTTCCACTCGGTTCCATTGGTCCACATGTCTGCTTTTGTTCCAGTATCACAGCTTTATTGTGCTTTGTAGTCTAATTTGAAGTCTGGGGGTGTGATGCCTTCATTCTCCTTTGTTTTAGTCAGGAGAGCTTTGACTGTCCGAGGTTTTTTGTGACTCCATATGAATTTCATAAATATTTGCTCTATTTCTTTGAAGTTTGTCATTGATTATTGGAAAAGCATTGAATCTGAAAATTGCTTTTGGGAGGATGGCCATCTTAATGTTAATTCTTCCAATCCATGATCAGAGGATGTCTTTCCATTTCTTTTGTGTCTTCTTCTGTTGAACAATTTTTATAATTTGTGTAGGCCCTTTACCTCTTTTATTAGATTTATTCCCAAGTATTTGATTTTTTGGTTTCAATTATAAAAGCGATGGTTTTATTTCTTCTTCAGACTCATTGTATATAGGAAGGCTACTGATTTTTGTGTGACTTTTGTATCCTACTTTGCTAAACTGGTTGATTATTTTGATTAGTTTTTCTGTGGAGTTTTAGGGTTCCCTATGTACTTCGCATGTTTTTAACTCTGATATGTATTGTACAAACAGTGCTCAGGGCTTTTGATGTAAGTTCTATTTAATCCATAACTAGAAACTTCAATGTCCTGAACCCCTGGTTTCATGAAATAGTTATGTCACTGAGGTGAAGATGCCTTCCCTGAGAGCAGCTCAGGAAACAGGATACCCTCTCAAAGGGGGTATTGTGGAGGGTATTAGCCAGGTGGAAGCTGGTATGCTCTGCTCTGCTCTACCCAGGGAACCTGCCATGGTTCCTTGCAGAAGAAGAAAAGACACTGTTTTATAGTAAATATTTAATTGGTTCCATCAGCAACTTTAACACAAGTTTCTTAAAGGGGCAGCAGAATCAAGCTACCCCGGGTTTCATGAGGTGTGTGTGGGGGGTCACTGAGCAGGGCCCCATAACCACTGACCCCATCTCACACACAGAGGCCCAGAAGAATGAGGATTGGGCTGAGAGAATATGAGAGAGAAAAAAGAATGCAAGTGAGGGAAATACAGGCCCTGGTCTGGCTTTTTGCTTTCAGGAGAGAGGAAAAGAGAACAGGAGATTGGAAGGGAGGGCAGGAGATACCAGCGCAAAAGGGATGTACCTTCACATTCAAGTTCTTGCCTCACTGAAGGAGAAACAAAGGAGCCTCTCTCCAGCTGTTCTGTATTAGAAACCCCTCCCCAGGTGATCTTTTGTCAAATCTGTATTCCAGATTCTGCAGTTCAAACCCAAGTTCTGAATTCTAATTTCTATCTTCTGGGTTCCCATTCCATTTTGTTTCCTGTCCCCAATCCTCCCAGCTCCCAGCCCTTTTTTGGTGGAGTCTGTGGGCCTCCTGCAGACTGCTAACTTGAGGCTTTTGCCCATCAGGAGGGACTTGGCTCAGACAGTTCAGCAAAGGGGTAGCCTAGTGGAGACCATGGAATTCCTGAGCGCTGGTCTCACCTGCTCTCTGCCCACCACACCTGAAGCCACAGGAAATACTATCTTTTGTGCACTTAAAGCTAAACCGAGGACTGCCGTGATAATTAGGGACTGGTGGCCTGGAGGTGAAGAATCTTGGGGGAATGAGAAGACATAAAAGGTGGTTGTTCTTCATTCAGAGAAATTAAAAACTGCTTTCAGCACAGGGGGAGGGATGAGGAGGTGGGAAAGGTCTGGTTAGAGCTACCAGTGCTCAGAACCCTGTTATCCTTCAACTCCCCCTTGCCTGAACTGAACACTGCTTCCCAGAGTCCCCCCAGATCTGAGAGAAACCGAGGCAGCAGGGCTGGGCGTTTCTCTGTTGGTGGCAGCCCTGAGGGTGAGGGAGGAGGCGGAGGCTGAGGCAACGTCACTGGAGAGGCGAGATCTTCAAGGGAATCATGATTCGAGACTCCATGTGTCGCACCAGGGGGACTGCAGAGAGAGGGGCAGGGGCAGAGGTCAGAGGTCAGAAGGAGCTGACTCATGAACTCAGCCTTTGAAGCGGGAGGAGGCCTGGGATACCAAGACAGGGAAAACCCTGCTGCCTTCTTGGAAGGGCCTGTGGAGAGTATGAGGTCTTCCAAGTTGTGGGATAAGAGGGAATCTTAGGTGATGAGAATAAAAAAAAAACCAAGTTGTTATAGTTATTATCCTGTGTAGGTGGAAAAAAAAATAAAGAAGTGAGTCCATAGATAATATTTAGGACAAAGCTAAAGTTTAAGAGTTTTAAGAAAACTATCAAGGAAGTAACTGTAGCAGGGTTATACCGGTAGGGCAAAAGCTGGGAGATCTAAAAACACCTGGCTAGGTCCCTCCCTCGTGGCACAGCGGGTTACAGCACAGCACTAAGAAGCTAAAGCCACTTCAGCATGAGTTCAATCCCTGCCCCGGAGATGACCCACATGGCACGGCAGACCTCTCCTGACACATCCACTGCTCCCCTCAGCAGTGTACTTCATTAGTCGGCCTGTTCTGCTCCCCACTGTCTCTGGTGAATCCTCTCACTGCCCCTGTACCTGTGGCCTATACCCCAGTTCTGTATGCATAAATAAATAAATCTTTAAACAAACAAAACACCACCCTGGCTAAACAGCTGTGGCTAAGGTTTAAAAAGCCCTGATTTTGTCCAGCTGCTCCTGTGACAGTTGGGGAAACTGCAGCCCTGATGGAGAGGGGAAGAGGTCAGACTCCTACCCGGCGCCTGCCCACCTCCGTGTCCAGCACACAGTGAGGGTTCAGTCAACACCCACTGATCCCAGGTGTTTCTTGGGGGTCTGAGCAAGGTGGCCAACATGGTGAACAAGGAACTTGCTCAAAACGATCTGCTGCATGCATCCTTGGGCCAGAATCTGGGCAAAGCACTTCACAGTCAGCTTCTAGAATCCTCCTTCCAGCCCTCTGAGGGAGGCACGACACTGCCACCTTCCGGAAACGCACGGTGACGTGAGCACCATACTTGCGGTCACGGGCTCAGCAGCTCAGAGGCAGGCGTGGCCTGGCTACAGTGCCTGCTGCAGCATCACCCAGGGCCGCGCTCGCAGGCGAGTGTCAGTGGCGAGAGGCCCAGCTGCCGGCCTGAACGGGAGCCCCCATACTGGAGGGACTGCAGTGAGGTGTGGAGGGACGGGCAGGGCCTCCTGAGGGCTCCCAGTAGACGACCTCCTCGAGCCTGGCTGATGCCCCAGTAAGTTGATGCTCACCTGTGTAGTAGACATTTTCATCCCAGCCCCTCTTCCTCCAGGCAGCATTTCGAGTCTCTTCCCGAGACTGTAGGTCTTTATAGGCTGTGGGGAAGACACAGGGTCATTCCACAAGCACCAAGCGTGTCTGTGGTCCTGTACCCTGTTCCCAGCATGGGGCCCTCCTCCCGCTGTCCCAGACCCTGCCTGGCTGTCGCTTCTCCCACCCAGACCCCCCACTGCCTGGGACTGTTAGACACTGTTTGCTTTGACAATCTCATCCAACCAGTGCATGTGCTGACAGCCCCCCAAGGTCTAGCTCCAGCCCAGAAATCTCTTGGCTCCAGACTGGTGTAGCCAGGGCTCACCTGATGTGACACTTACAACCTAAACTTATATCTGAACCTCATGGTAACCACAAAGCAAAAACCTTGAGGCAATGCTCAGCGGGAAACACTTCCCAAACTACACTCCTGATCTCTCAAACCTGCTCCTGCTGGGGTCCCAGGAAGTGACACGGCTGCTCTGGCAGGAGTCTGGGAGTCGGGAGTCCTCCTCCCTCATCCCACAGACATCCCCCAGCCCCTTCGGTTCTCCCTCCAGACTAGTGAGTCTGTGCACTTCCCAGCGGCCTCTCCGCACATGTGACACCAGGCCACACCCCCATCAGCTGTACTAGTGTAACCATCTCCTGGTGTGCCTGCACACTTGCAAAGTGTTCTAGCGAGACCCACGGAGCCAGAGGAGGCCACCAGAATAAAAGCAGGTCACGTCCTGCTGCCTCAGGTCTCGCAGCAGCCTCGGGAGCCCCCAGCTCATCCTACCCATGGCCTGCGAGGCCCAGCCGGACCCGACCCGCCTCTCCTATCCTGTGTCCTCACGCCCTTTCTATTCCCGCCACACCAGCCTCCTTCCAGGCCCCCAAAACCACAAAGGCTTTTCCCCACCACAGGATTTTTGTCCATGTTGTTCCCATGCCTGTTCCTTCTCATCCTGTGGGTGGCTGACATTTTAACCTCCTCACAGAGACCGTCTTTGTCTGTCCAAGTCAATGTGGGTTCCCATGTTTTTCTTCATCATTTCTCCCTGTCTCTTTATTATCCATAATACTTTGAAATTATCTTGTTTGTTAGCGTATGCTTGAGGTGGAGTCTCCCTCTGCTAGAACACAAGCTCCACACAGGTCCCAAAGTAGCCTCATTGTACATGCAGTGGAGAAAGGGAGGCTCCATAGGGCTCCCCGCGGGTCCCCAGCATACCCCAGAGATGGTGCACCACGTAGAGTTCGCCTATCTGAGAGAAGAAGCCGCCTACTGCCTCCTGGTTCTCCTGCCGGTACTTGATGGCCCGAGCCCTGGGGATGGTAGAAGAGTGGGGGGCAGAGGTCAAGGCTAGTGCAAAAGCCCCCTGTGATGTCCTCAAGCTGATTCCTCAGCCACATCTTGAGGGAGGGGCCAGAGGCAGAGCCCCCAGCTCTCAGAAGTGAACAGGTACAACTGCCAGCTGAGTTTTCTACCACAGAGGCCTCACAGTCCTCCATGAGAGCTGCCCCTCCTCATTGGAGCCCTCCCTTGGATCTGTGAGGATGCCGAGTTCCTTGTCAAATGACCCCAGGAAAGGGGGTCCACCAGGGGCCTTGGTGGGGCAGGTGATCAGGGTACTCCCCACCCCCTTGGCACTGTGACTCACCAGTTATTCCCCCACTCGATCATGGTTCCTGGCTGAAAGAGAACCAGAGGAGAGGGTGGGAATGAATCCCCACCAGGCTTCCCAGCGTCGGGGTGGGCAGATGGGAAACTGCCTTGTCTGCCCATTTTCAGGGGCTGCTTGGCCTCATTCAGGGGTCCTGATTGGCAGCCGGGTGTGCACCTGTACACGTGGGCAGACACACCTCTGCTCTGCGCCCAGTGGGAGGGAGAGGCCGAAGCCCCACTTTCAGTGCATGGCACAGCGCCTGCCCACCTGGGGTACCAGCAAGCAGGGCTGCCGCAGGCTGATGGGAGGCACATGGGAACGTGGGGGAGGGAGGCACCTTCAGCTTGTATGTCCTCAGCTCGTAGATGTTGGGGCCTGCTCTAGGCTGTGGCTCATTCCAGAAGCTGAACTCAAGGAGCATCTGGTTTCTCCTGGACAGCAGCATCTGGCTCCGCTCCTTCCGGAATTCCAGGTACTCCTGCAGGCATGGTGATCTGGCCATGCCAGCCTAGAAGCACCCCCACCACCCCACCCGGCAGTGGGCCCCACAGGGTAGCTGAGGAGCCGCCAGCACAGGGCTGGACCGGCCCAGTCCCCAGAGAGGCTTGTGGCGTGGCCAGCGACCTACCTTGTTGTTCTTGAGCTTGTTCATGCACTCCATGAGGGCTGGGTAGCCGCCCGAGAACCGCCACAGGTGCACTGTTGGGGGTAGAGGAAGTGGGAGGTCCAGATGAGGGGGCTCTGCCCTGCTTACCCCAAGGCTGGTTACGTGTGTGTAAAGGGGTGGTCTCGGCGCACAAGGTCTGAGTTCCCTTTGCCTTGGTGGGGAGCAGTACTGGGCAGCAAAAGCCTAGACAAAAGCCAAGGAGACCTCAGTTTGAGCTCCGGCTCTGCCACATCGTATTTGACTCCCTCTAGACCTCACCAGCCTCATCTCAAAAATGGGAGTAAGGGCCTCCCTCATGACGCAGGGGTTAAAGTCTCAGCACTATCGAGTATTACCATCCACTGTGACCTGAGTTTGATCCCCGCCAGGAAACTGATCCCCATGGCACAACAGACCTCTCCTGTCCTGCCCACTGCTCCCCTCAGCAGTGGATTTCACTACATCTGCCTGTTCTGTTCCCTACTCTGGTCTCTAGTGAATGCTCTCACCCTCACACCTCTGACCTACACCCCAGTTCTTGTATGCCGAAATAAAAGAATCTGAAAGACACTAAGGCAGCTCTCCTCCCTGCCCACATATGCCTATGCAGGTGTCTCTCTTTACTATCTTCCCTTTTCCTAATAAACCTATCTTTTACAATGTAAAAAAAAACCCAGAAAAAAAGAAACCTACCAGCACATACAGTTTGCTGCCACAAATGTGTAGCAGAGGAGGGACACAGCCAGAGACACTGGTCTACTCCCCATCTCCTGACAGAGACCTAAGAGACTGACAGGAGATGTCTCTGGCAGCAGAGAAATGAGTCCTAGGAACCACCAGCAGGAGGGGGGCTTGCTTTTCACTGAAAATTTTGTACTATTTGAAAAATGTTTAAAGATTTATTTACAAATACAAGAGCTGGGTTATAGGCCAGAGGTGCAGGGGGAAGAGGGTGAGGGGATTCACCAGAGACAAGGGTGGGGAGGTGAACAGGCAGATTGACAAAGTACACTGCTGAGGGGAGCAGCGGGTGAACAGGTCTGCTGTGTCATGTGGGTCAGCTCCATGGCCGGGGACTGAACTCATGCTGCAGTGGCTACGGATTGCTTCACAGCACTGAAACCCCTGTGCCACCAGGAGACCCTATTTGAATTTTTTTTTTAAATAATGTAAGTTTATTTTTACATCATTTTGTACATTTGGTTTTTTGCATCTCAATTGTAGACTCTATTTGAATTTTGTATCACATCTTCTGTAGTGGGCTGAACAGTGTCCTCCCTCTCCCAAAGTGATGCCTACCCAGAATCTCAGAATGTGACCTTAGTTGAAAATGGCATCATGGGTCTTCCCTGGTGGTGCAGCGGGTTAAAGCGCAGCACTACGAAGCTAAAGCTGCTTCAGCACAAGTTCGATTCCTGGACAGGGAGCTGACCCACATGGCGCAGCAGATCTCTCCTGTCTCGCCCACTGTTCCCTTCAGCAGTGTACTTCATTGATCTGCCTGTTCTACACCCTGTTTTGTCTGGTGAATCCCCTCTCCACCCCTTGTACCTCTAGCAGGTACCCCAGTTCTGTACGCATAAATAAATAAATCTTTAAAAAAGATAAATGGCATCATTGTAGATGTTATCAAGCTGAGCTCACATTGGGTGGGCCCTGAACTCAGTAACTGGCATCCTTTGTTAAGAGGAAGATTTGGACACCAGAAGACCATCATGGAAGAGGGAGATAAATGGAGAACGCTCCGTGACAACATAATGTACGCAGCGACTGGGGTGACACATCGATGAGCTAAGGAGGCCGAGGGCTTCCAACCACCACCAAGAAAAGGAAAAAACAAGAAGAGTCTCCCCTAGCACCTCTGGAGGGTGAGGCCCCTGCCAACCCCTGGATTCCAGACCTCCGGAATCAAGAGAACCCATCTTTGTTTGAAGCCACCAGCCAGTGGTACTTTGTTACTGTGGCCCTAGGAGACTGACACTTTCCAATAACAAAGAAACCTCGTTACTATGGAAGTCTCACCACCCCTGAGAGCACGTGGGCCAGGAAGGAGGGAGGCCTAGATGGGCCAAGCCTGGAGTGGATGGCTGACCAGTGGTTTGGGAGCTCACCCTGTCCCTTCCCCAGCCGGCCCCTCAGACGCTTGACGCCATCTCTGCCTTGTTCGTTCCCACCGGCAAAATGGCCTGGCCCTGCGGCTTAAAGGCCTTTGCCCCCAAGGAAAACTGCAAAAGTGCCATAAGGAGGAAAGTTTACCAAGTCCAGGGAAGCTGACCTGTGGGAGAGGAATGAACCTGACACCAAGGGATGGACAGGGAGGACTCGGAGACAGAGGACCCTGCCTCACTGCAGTGGTCCTGTTACAAGATGTTTCTTTCCAGTGCCCGGACTGTGGATTCCTGAGCGCCACTCCCAGGGAAGGCCGAGAGGGTCTGTCCCCCACCTTTTCCTACACAGGGACAAGACCTCAGAAATTGTAGGACCTGCTTGAAAATTGAGGGTTCCAGTCCTCACAGCTCATTTCTCCACTAGCAGGCATTACTGCTGGTGCTGAGCAAGCTGTATTTACAATGGGGGAAACTATGGCCGCCTCACACTCCTCCTCCTTCGGCTCCCTCTCTGTCCCCGCCCCCTGTAGGATCTCTCGGGTTTATAGCTGTCTGTCTTTTTGTTTTGTTGGGTTGTGTTTTGTATTGCAATAACAACACACTTTCTCCTCCTATGTCTTATTTGGTTCTATTCCTCCTGTAAGTGAAACCATTCGATATTTTTCTTTTTCCTTCTGACTTATGTCACTGAGCAGGATCCATCCCTTCCAGCTCCATCCATGTTGCTGCGAATGGCATGAGTTTGTTGATCCACTGGGTGGCGAGGACGGGTGGTTGACGTGAGGGAGGAGGGAAGTAAGCAGTGCTTTAAAACGAATAATGTATAGATATAGAAATGTAAAAAAGAATGGGGAAACGGTAGAGGAAGGGGAGACACTTGGTTTTCTGTTATCCATCTATCACGTCAACTTGTGTTACTGAAATAAATGATTAAGGGGAGTCTTGTCTAGCTCCACATTTTCAAAAAAAGACATAGGTTGGCCAGGAGGCAGCGTGCACCCCAATTCTGAAAGTGCACAAGGGGAGCTTAGAGGACTCTAGTAGGACTGCCCTGAAGAGCCTCCGTGCTGTGCAGTGTCGGCACTGTCTAGAAGGGCCCTCCTGTGCTTGACACGTCACCCGGCCATGTCCAAGGCAGTAGCCAGGAGACAAGGTGCCTAAGTGGCACTGAAATGTGGCAAGTGTGGCCGAGGGGCTGCGTGTCTCACCCCAAATCACTGTATGTGGCTAGTGGCTACCACCCTGGACAGCACTGGCTAACTGCCCAGGCCCCTCAGGGTGGCTGAGAGGCTGAGCCAACCACATTCTTGTGTTTGGGCATCCAGCTGGTGCCTGCTAAGATGGGTAAGTGGGGGGACATGCTGGGGAAACCCCTGGCAAGTGGAAGGGAACAGCTCAAACAAGCCCCATTTATCCCGGTGTTGCATACTGGGAATTCCATGGCGAAGGACAGGCAGGGCCGCCACCCACGGATAACGGACAAGTGCACTACAGAGCACACGGGAAACCAGGGGCCGTGCCTGACCAGCGTGTGGAGGTGGTGTCTGTGCCAAGACCGAGAGCGTAGAGGAGAGGGCCAGGTACAGCAGGCAGGGAGGATGAGGGAGTGAATGGAGAGGAAGCAGCGTGAACACAAAGCCCACCAACTGCAGGTCAACCTGTGGGTGTGAAGAAGGCCCTGGGCGGGGCAGCACAGTGAGCCGGGAGGCTGGGCAGGGCCGCAGTCGGAGCCTCCCGGGGTGCCGGGGCAGAGGGAGCCGCCTCAGGTGTTTGGGTAGCGGAGCTGGTGACGAGGATCGAATTTACGACCCTCTGTGCTTCCGTGGACGTGCTGGGCAGCCAGGTGTGAGAGGTGCTGCGGCCTGGGCCGGGCCAAGCGGCAGCACCACAGAGGCAGGTACCTCACCTGCCTGGTCCTGCTCCCCGTACCACGTGTTCCAGTTGCCCACCAGCGAGCAGGGGTAGTCCTCGTCCAGGTGCAGCTTGGGCAGCACAGCCTCCCTACGGGAGGGGCACAGAGAAAGGGGGACTCGCACCAGCCCCTGGGCGCCTGAAACGAGGGTTCCAACACAGGCCAGGGGCTGAGGCCTAGACCCCCATTTCTAAGATGCGTCCTTAGGACTTATGAGCCTGAAACCTACACCCCCTGGGTTCCTGCCAGGAGAATGGGGCTGCGATGGAGCCCCCCACCCACACAGGGGCCCAGAAGGGTGGCAGGGGAGCAGTCTCACGTCAGGCTGTTGTAGGCATCCAGACACTCGGGCTTCACATTATGAACTGCAACAGAGCACAGAGAGTGGGGGGGGGGGGGAAAGAGAGCAGGGTTTGTGCCTGTCCTTGGGGAGCTGGAGTGGGGGGAACAGTGCAGGCCAAGGCTCCCAGGACAGCCTGTGATGTCCCTGACCCTCACATCTCCCACTTGGCATCTCAGAGGTCCCCAGAGGCCCGGGGAGGGCAGGCTTGGCCGGCCAGCAGCCACTCACACTGGATCTTGTAGAGGTTGCTGGTTTCCTTCTTGGACAGCAGGGTGGAGTGGGCATCCTTCCGGGGATCCACCTTGTGGACAAAGAGGGATCGGAACCAGCTGCCTTCATTGTCCTTGGAATAGAAGCTGTAGGACAGAAGTGTTTAGAGGGACAGGCAGGGATGCAGGGAGCCTGGGTTCTCCCATCAGCTCAGAAGCCTGCTCCCTCAGATTGCTGACCCACATTTCTGGGAATGGGGCCATGGAATCCCATGGTAGTTCCAGAATGTGAAATGCAGTGGACCTGAGCAGACCTGATCCTTCAACAGAGATCCTGGCCGCCCCACTAGTTTCGTGAAACTCTGCAGGGGCTCAGGAGAGGAAGGCCTATGCCCAGCCCTCCCCAGTCCTCTGCCCTCACCTCACTCCCTTCAAGGGGTCTGCTGCTCGGCCCCTACCGTGGCAGCACCTAGCCAGGAGGACCAACTCCAAACCCACCTTGGCTTGATGCCTCCTCTCCTGCACCCTCCACCTCTGTGTCCCAGCCCCTTGGACAAACCAGGCTTCCCCACTCTGCTTTCTTGGCAATTTCTGTCCCCACCAATGAGAAGGCCACACTCACTGCCCTCTCCCGTGCCCACTCTAGCCCTCGCCTGTGCCCCTTTCCAGTCCCCACAAATGAAGACTCAAAGACAAAAAGGTTCTTTCCAAAGGAGACACACTCCCCTGGAGGAAACAGGTCTTAGAACACAATCTAAGAGACGCTGGAGGTCTCTGGGAAGGCCCAGGTAAACAAGCCTCAACCAGCCCCTGGCATCGGGGGCGGGCTCTCCAGATGACCTGATCAGTCTCCCGATCTCCAGGGCTGATGTGGCAGACAAAGGCAGCTAAGGGGGGTAAAAAGGGACTGCAAAGCGGAGTCATGCATTCACCCAGCCAACACTGCCCTGCACACCTCCGCAGGATGCAGCAGGAAGGAGTACGTGGCGATCACGTACACTGCTCAGAGCAGCCTGCGGCCAGGTCCTGCCAGACTGTACCTGCTCTCCCTACACAAGCCCCAGCAGGGTTTATTTTTTAAGCTGCCTGAGGCAGCAAATCCTCTGGCTCTACAGCCTCCGTGCAACGTGCACCCAGGTCTGAACAGCAAGCTTCACTGGCTGCTTCCTAGGCAGGGGGAATCACCCCAGCCCTTACCCCCACTCGCTCCTTTCCTTTTTTGGAGCCTTTTCTGTGGCTAGAATCAGTGTGCTGCAAATCAAAGTGTTGTTTTTTTTTTTTCAAAATAGGAGCAGTCCTTGGGACTAGCAAAATAAAAGCACACTTCAAGTGGTGATGGCAGAGAGAGGTGGCATGTAAGGGTTCATCCCGAACTGTTAATATTGCTCACCTGGAAAAGGGAAACGAGGAAGGGGGTGAATTTTTTAATTTATTAAAATCTTTATTGTAAAGTGAAAAAGAAAAAAAAGATGTTACGTTATTTCTGAATTCACAGACTTTGTCACTGTGCGTGTTCCTTGCTTCCTTAACAAAACCCCAAAACTCAATTATCGTCAGATGGGTGGTGTGGACTGTGGCGCTGTGGGCCAGCGTGAGGGAGCCTTGCTCTGTGCGAGAGAGCCTGACCCAACTGTGCCACGATCCTACTGACTCTATGCCAGGATGTTGGAATGTTGATAGCAAGAGTGTCCCCATTTTCGATGACAAGAAAATAAAAGGTTATGGAACGAAAGGAACTCGCCCAACGTCACGTAGTAAATCAAAGGCAGATCCAAGCAAGAACCAACGCAGATCTCTTCCTCCAAATCTAGAGCCAGGCACTGACCTGGGCGGGTGCAGGCAGATACCATGAAAAACCAGGTGTTTTCTACAAGCCACGGGCAGAGGGGCCTGACCTTTGCCTGCATGTAGAGGGGATGCTTCCCCTGGGAGAGGTGGTGGCAGGGAGCAGAGCGGCTCCTATTATTTGTCAACCTAGACCTTTGCTCAAGGCCTGGGCTTCAAGTAATTTATTAACATCAGTACTGACCAAGATAAACAGCCAAAAGGCTACCCCTGATGAAAGTTGGGGGCTGAAATGCTGGGGCAAGACTGGGGAAGGCAGGGGCCCAAAGCGCTGACAGGCCCCCATGTCTCCCCCTCCCCAAGTCTCTCTTGCCCGTGGGCCTCAGTTTCCCCACGCATCAAATGTGCAGGGTGGACCAGCCTTCCTCGAAAGCTCTATAGGCAGGAGTCACAGAGACCTGTCCAAGGTGTCAGGGCTGGGTCTGACTCAAAGCTCACATTTTCAGATCAAGTTTCACTTAGTGAAGTCGCAGAGCTCCTACCCTGCACTCCTGATCACTCTGCCCCTGCTTTCCATTCCCCCGGCACCTTCTAACACTGTATCAATACTTCTGCTTATGCTGTGCCTTGTTACTGTCTCCCCACTAGAGGCAGCCCTGCGAGGACAGGGCCTTGTCTGGCTGTACCCCCCAGGGCCTCAACAGTGCTGGTGCATGCATGTTTTCAGTTGTGTTTGGGAAGTGAATGAAGGGCGGTGGGATACATGAAGATGCAAAAAGCTGGAGGTGAGAAAGCAAAGCAAACGTGGGCCTTTGGCTCAGAATATGGACGCGAGCTTCAAGCCCCGCCAGTCCCCACCACCAGCCGCAGAGCAGTTTCCAGACAAAACTGGGTTTGGATCTCAGCTCGCTTTCATTTCTCTAAGCGTCATTTTCCTCATCCCTATGAGAAGAGCAAAGGGATGGCTTCTCAGAGAAAGGGCCTGACATGCCAGGGCAGCTAATAAACTGTTCTACCTAACTTGGAACTGACAGCCTGGCTTCTACTCTTTCCACCTTTTTCCTAATCTGGCCCTCAATCTTTCTAAGACACCATTTTGTGATGCTATTCCTCTGCTCAAGAAAGTCTTCTATGGCTCCCTATTGCCTACAAGACAAAAGCAGAATGTCTCTACTGGGAATTCTAGTCCTCATCTACTTTGTTAAGCTTTCCAGAGTCAATTCCCTGTTAAATTTGGTGACCACAGAGCCAGGACTCCCTTTTCCAGTGGTTCTCAAACTCATGCTATCAGCAATCACCTAGAACTTGCTAGATGTACTCAGGCCTGGGCTTCCCTGGTGGTACAGGGGTTAAAGTCTCAATGCTATCAAGCTATGGCCACTGCAGCATGAGTTCAATACTGGCCAGGAAGGTGACCCACAGGGTGCAGCAGGCCTCTCCTGTCTTGCTTGCTGCTCCCCTCAGGAGTGTATCTCAGTATATCTGCCTGTTCTGTTCCCTACTGTCTCTGATGAATCCTCTTACCATCACACCTCTGGCCTACAACCTAGTTCTTTTGTGCATAAATAAAAATAAATTCTAAAACTATATATATATTTTTAAATTGACTCCATCCCAGACCTACTGCAACAGAAACTCTGAGGTGGGGCTAGCAATCTGGGTCTTAACAAGCCACCAGGGACTTCTGCCCCATGTTCAAATGTGAAAGCCCCAGTCTAGATCAGTTTGCTTTTTGTTGTTGTTCCTCATGGAATCTCAGTAAACCACCACAGAAATGCAAAAGATTCTGGTATCTATCTACCCATGTATTATATTAAGAATGTGTCTTAGGGGGCCTCCCTGGTATCTTAGGGGTTAAATTAGTGCCCCACCGAGAAGGCCTGAGTTAGAATCCCGGCCAGGGAGCTGACCACAGGGAGCTGACCCTCGTGGCATAGCAGACCTCTCCTGTCTCGCCCACTGCTCCCCCGGCAGTGGATTTCAATATATCCACTTGTTCTGCTCCCCACTCTGTCTCTGGTGAATCCTCTCATCACCACCCCCTCTAGCCTGTATCCCAGTTCTTCTATAAAAAAATAAATAAAATCTTTTTTTAAAAATGCCTTTTAGGCCTAGACAAATAGTTTTATCTAGTCTGTGGGAAGGGCCTGCCCCAACTGGACTAGTCCAGTCCCTGCTATGAAAACACTTGTCATGTTTCTCCAGCCTCTTCCTTTTCATATGACTGTGTCTTCTCTCCCCAGCCACACTAGACTCTACGAGATAATACCCTTCAACCCCCAAGGGAAACTACCACAGGGTTTTGGCATGAAAGTTGCTTAATAAAACTTAGTCCAGTTAAGAAATTTTCAGTAGATGACACATTTACATTCTCGATAGGGGTCAACAGTCTGATGTCTCGCTCCATGAAACTATTCCATATACTTATAAGCTAGAAAGCTCAGCTCTGTGTGCCAGGATGCTGGGCTCTCTGCACTTTCTTGAATACTACTCAGTTGAGTCAACTGCTGTTAGAAAGGTGACACTATGTTTCTGTTTATTGTTCTAGAAGTGTGTCTTCAGAAGATACACTAGAAGAACTGAACTTCTGTTAACAGCAGAATTACTGGTATAGCATATAGCATAACATTAACAACTGTTTATTGAGCACTTACTATGTGCTAAGAACTATCTTCACAATATATTTATGAGAAAAAAGAGGCTAAGAGATAATCCATTCCTTACTCAAAAATGGTTAACCAGTGGCCAAGAGAATTCCTCTCCATGTCCATCTGACTTCAAAGGCCACATTCTGTACCAACCCAAACCTCAGAGGCCAGAGGGCTGCTGCTGTTCTGCCTAGTAACTCCAGAGAGATCTGGGACAGGCTAAAGATTCAGCAGGAGGGGGATGTTCCCAGGTCTCCAAGGTGGGACCAGGGCGTAGGTAACTTCAAAACTGTCTTTGAGGCACTCGATGACTATCGCTCTAAGTGCCTTTACAGAAACCCTGCAAAAAAACACCCAACAGGAACCACCATCCCCATTACAAAGAAAAAAAGCCGTGATCACAGAGGTTCAATGCCTCATCCAAGGGCACTAATTGAGTAAACAAGGAGCAGCAGGCCACCTTCAGGTCCCATGCTCCTTCTGTGGTCTCAGGATATTTACCACACAAACAGTTCTATCACCAGCTGATATGTAGTCCTGGAGAAAAGAGGTTTTGTCCCCAGTCTTGAGCTCCCCATCTGGAAAGCAAGAAGCTAACCGTACAATATCTCCCAAAGGCGTGTCCAGTCCTGATATTGGAGGTCACACAGACATTGCTTCAGACATAGGCTTGAATAAGGGACAATATCTGTTGCATGTTCACAGGGACCAGATACCTCACATGGCCTCAACAACTCTATGAGATACATCTTATTTTATCACCCCCATTTTATAAATGAAGAATCTGAGGCTTCAAGAAGCCAAATGACTCCTGCAAGTTCACCACACTAAGACTGAGCAAGATCTGCTGGTAGAAGGCAAACTCCAGGTTCTTCCCATGGTATCAGCGTTCTTCCCAAGTATCGGGGCAGTCTGGGTAGGGGCAGGACCACGGCTCCTCCTCCCAGCTGCCCTGATCTCTAGTACCTGGTGGCCAGGTCTATAAAACTCTACAACTTCATGCCTGAGTTGCTGGGCAGAAGGGACCCTGCTTCCTTTCCACAGGTGTGGGAACAGGTGTCCTCACCTCTCTGACAAATATTCTTGAGCATACACTGTCCCTAGCCCTGTGCCAGGGTCTGAGATAACAGATAATTGAAGTGAAGGTCTAGTAGGGAAGTGAGCAAGCACCAGGTAGTAAGTGCAGACACTGGGCAGGTACATGACCCTGGAGAGAGGAGGGTGGGTGGCCCTGGCCTGCAGGGGTGCCAGCATCAACCTCAGTCCAAGGGCCCAGCAAGAGCCCAAACTAAACACATGGCTGGGTCAGCAGCCTCCCTTGCTCAGGAGGCCACCAGTTGTGGTGCAAAGAGCACGAGGTGTGTGGAGACCTGTGTCCAGACCCGGGGCTGCCATGGGACAACAGGGAGAGTGACCTTGGGCTACTCCCATCCCCTTTCAGGCCTCCTGCGTCCCAGCTGAACTATTCAGGGCAGGGAGCAAAGGGTCTGTGCAACCAGGGCCCTTCGTTGCTCCCCTACCCATGTCTTGCTCCCCCATAATTTCCCGACGGTGGAGTTGCCTCCCCGAAAAGCCCCCAGTTGGTGCTTCAAAGGCCTGGGAAGGGGCCACTCCTGCTGCCTAGTCTGCTCCCACTCTCCAGAGCCCACAAACTGCCCCTCCCACTCACCCCATCTTTCAGTCTCTGCCAGGACCCAGGGGCCCCCTAAGCCAGACCCTGCGCATGCCTTTCCCTCGACCCCCCATTCTCGTCCAGCCCACTTCCCCAGGCCTAGATCTTGCTCCCGCCTCTAAGCCCTGGGTTCCCAGCCAGAGTCTCTTCCCATCCCCCAGGCCCAAGCCCAGGCCACCGCGAAGGCAGCCCCCGCGCGCGCCGCCCCCGCCCGGCCCGGCTCTCACCGCGCGGACGCAGCAGCCACAAAATCCCCAGCGCGGAGCCCCGGGCCCCCCAGCAGCCGCCGCGCCGACGCAGAGATGCTGCACAGTCGCGGAGCCATGTTGAAGCAGCGCAGGTTGGACGGAAGCCCCGCCCCCGAGCCCGCGGCGGAGGCGGGGCGGGCTCAAGCCCCACCCCGCGGCCCGACGCCCGGCTCCGCCCGCACCCAGACCCGCGTCGCCTGGTTCTCAAACTCATGCTATCAGCAATCACCTAGAACTTGCTAGATGTACTCA